CTTTGGTCTCAAATGGAATTGCACGGCCCAATGCCAGCTGTTTGATGCACCCAATGCTTCGTCTCATCTCATCTCATCTAATTTCATCCACATTGGAAGTTCCATTTTCCTATGCTCTCTAGCTATATGCCCATCTCTCTCTTTCATTGGATATCTTAAGCCATCAAATCAAGACAATCTTCCACACTCCATCATTGAGACCATACAGTATAGGTATCCACCTTCACCGCGTAGAGCCTACAGTATATACAAGTGCTTGCAGGAGCAGACAGTTGTGTCTTCAAACAGACGAGGGGAATATAAGAAGTTGTGGTGGAATTGCTACTCCTACACAGGTAGCTATAATGAATTCAATAATCTTGACTATCTCTAGCACCTGGGCCACTTCCAGCTCGTGGAATTGACAATGAGTCCTCAATCTCCAGCAAGTGGGGCCTGGGCCTGGGCTTCTCTAGGGGGGGGGGCGCCAAAAAAAACGAAATTGCTCCTGGAAGTGCACTCCAACCATCTTTTTTTACGACCCTCCCCCTAGAGAAGCCCAGGCCCAGGCCCCAGTTGCTGGAGATTGAGGACTGATTGAGATTGGAGGTCTTGGAGACCAGATCTCCCTCATAGAGGTGATGTCCTGATGTTGTATGATGGGATGTCGTGGACTTGCTGATAGATGATGCTTGATGGACTTCTGTGTGGGAATCAATGAGAACTAGTATGTTTGAATCAGATTGATGAGAAATTTGATAGATTACAAGTCGACATTTTTGCTAGACACGTTCTTCAAAACAACTAACATGTTCAAAAAAAACACAGAAAACCACAAATCACAAAAACGCGTAAAAACCACACCCGCATAACGTCGTTTTCTGTTTAAAATGGTGCCTCACAGGTTTGTCTACGAAGCATTGAACTCTACAGCTCTAGACCCAACAACCCCTAATTTACACGGAGCTAGACAAGTTACGGTGAGACAGTGTTTCTGATGAACTGCGTAGGGTGCGGCGGGCGCTTTAATTGGTACTTTCGGGACATGATACATTACAGGGGGTTATAAAGAAAGCGTCGCAGCTGGTGGGAAGTGACGCGCGCCGATTTTCTATACCAGGAAACTTTGGTGGCGTGGGTGCACTTCTTGGGCCACCCCAACATTCGAACCTGGTCCTTCAAATCCATCATTTTCTTCGACTTGGCAGACTTCGACCTCTGCATCAATCTCCGAAAGCGGCCTACCTTGGATAAAGCTGATCAATCCTAGAAACATATATACTTTCAATTCCTTGGTAGGGTAAATCAGCAAGAAACATTGTTGAACGAAGACACCAGTCTTTTCAGAGCAACAGCTTGCTTTAACGCCCAGTCAGCGACGCAAGGTAGCTCGCTGAACAAACCACGGGGAAAAAGCTTTGCTTTGGTGTAGAACCGTAAAATAGCCCCACGCATGGTGTAGGCCGACAACCGTGGCCCAGCCCCAATGGCCACCGCACCATGGATGCAAGCCAAAATGGCCTGGGAGATCGCATGGTCATTGACACTTGTATTGTAGAACTATGTGTGTTCGGAACTCAACCCATCAATACCCAAATAAAAGGTTGCCATGTGCTATTGCGTAACATCGGTGTTTGAGGTCACGTCCTTCAAGGTGCACTTCTGTTTGGTATACAGTTTCCCTGAGTGGTCGCACAGAAAGGTCATTCCCACCTGCAACGGACCAAGGAAGAATAATCGCCATCTCAAGAGACATTTGTCGTGTCAGGGAGATGAATTACTAATTACATAGGTTTTTTTGCAAAAACAAAGGTTGGACTTTGGTCTTGAGGCCAGAACTAATACCTGGCCTCTCGGAGCTTAGGAAACTTACAAAATGCATCAGCCAGCAACTCGACACGCGCCGAGATCTCTTCACCATCATCCGCCGAAGACTCAGAATCTGACATGGTGCCCCCAACTACAAGGCTGCTAGCCTGTGTGGTAATTAAGCTGCGGGTTTGGGAGTGCGACGTACTAAACATGTTCACGACCAATCCAAGGCATCTCTTCCCCAAGAGTCACGCATGAACAAGCACGCGTGGCAGGCACCTTTCACCTTCGACCCATCAAAGTGATGGAAGTGAACGCCGGCCTGGCCACGCGCTAGCTCGAGGGCATGGTGTGACCCAGTGAGGCTGAAAGCAACACGATGTAAATCTTCTTTGACAAAGATATTTTGCAGGAAGGCTGGGTCACCACCATATACCAGATTTCCCGTTGAAGACAGACGATTTTGAGAAAGCATGGTTTCACTGTGTTTCACTATCGTACATTGAATCCATTCATGGTTGAACCCACACGAAATGACAGCAAGGAACCGCATTCTCCGACAAACACCTTGTCGTTGTTCGCCGGCTATATATATGGCTATATATATATATATAACAGTTTGCATATAATATCTAGATATCCTTATACATAATATTTACATAGCGACACCACAAGACATCAAGAGAACGGTCGCTTCCCAGCTGCCCATTAACCTATGCCATATGTCCTTTCCAAATCCCAGTGATATCCTCTCAGCGTGTGAAAAGGGTTGGATGGATTTGGACTTTTCTGGTTTTACTTGTGCGCGCGCGCAACTCCACTCCCCCCAGAAAAGATTAAATGTTATGATACAGAATATTGAACATTGACACACGGAAAAAGAAAACACATATACCAGCTACCTGTTTGGAGAAATCCTGCAACCACACAGAAGCGTGGCTGGCCCACCATGACGGCGGCCAACGCCAAGATCCAAAGTGAAGCAACGCCGCCTCCAAGGATGCGGCCCGTGGCGTCGCCCGAATAAACACGGCACATGCTCATAAACTTGCGCAACCTATATATGTATATATATGGTTGTCAAGGCGTGCGTGCGCTATTGGTAGCGGAGCAAACTTAGATCGGGCTTGGCAACTACAAGTCGCATCTGGCCTGATCGTAAGGCTCTTGGGCTCACCATCGGAGCACCCGTGCCATGAGGAAGGTAAAAGGAAGACAGGCAACGTGTTTGTCTTTGACGCACATATTCTGGTCTGGTGGCCAAATTTGCTTGGACAGCGTCTTCGGAATAATTCATATGTCCCAACTGCGTGCGCAAAAACGAGCTTGTCAACTCTTCTACCCCAACCGCCTGAGTAATGAGCAGCGAGGGCAGCAAGGGTGGTCACTTAACGCACGAGCCGGATGTTCTCAGGCCCTCTGCTGCAAAAGGATCCAAACAAGATCTGTGGGCTGCTTCCAAAATGCAAGCAGTAGAGATTTTAACCATCGTGTGGTTCCCTCAAAACTGACAACATGTGGCCACTAAGACCTTGTTGCCTCAACATCTCCCAAATTCCCAAAAGGCAACGAACGTGCTTTTTCAAACACCACATGACTCGAGAAGACGTATGCAAGAAACTTCCGAGTTACGGTTTTTTGTTCCCTTTTTTCCTGCACGCGTAGGTTCCTCTGTTTTCACGTTTTCACGGGTCCAAATGGCAGTTTCCGCGGCCATACCGTTTTCACGTGTCCAAATGGTTTTTTGGAGGCCAAATGGTCATTTGACCTACGGACTCGTTTTTGGTGATCAAATGGCCCCCAGGGATTGCGCGTGTCGAGTGCGCGAAACGCAGGCGAGAGATGGCGAGAGTGCGATTTGCCGGCTGCCCGCGCAACCCTCTGCGGAGATCGTGCGTGTCGAGTGCGCGAAATTCGAAATGCAGGCGAGAGTGCGATTTGCCGGCTGCCCGCGCAACCCTCTGCGGAGATCGTGCGTGTCGAGTGCGCGAAATGCAGGCGAGAGTGCGATTGAGTCTGTGCGCGCGCAACATGCGGAGATCGTGCGTGTCGAGTGCGCGAAATGCAGGAGAGAGTGCGATTGGGTCTGTGCGCGCGCAACCCTCTGCGGAGATCGTGCGTGTCGAGTGAGCGAAATGCAGGCGAGAGTGCGATTGGGTCTGTGCGCGCGCAACCTGCTGCGGAGATCGTGAGTGTCGAGTGCGCGAAATGCAGGCGAGAGCGCGATTGGGTCTGTGTACGCGCAACCCTCTGCGGAGATCGTGCGTGTCGAGTGTGGAGTGCGCGAAATACTGGCGAGAGTGCGATTGGGTCTGCGCGCGCGCAACCCTCTGCGGAGATCGTGCGTGTGGCCGCCGGTGGGGGGTTTGGGAGGCCGCATCACACACAGACACCCACGCACTGCCTCAACTTACTCGAACACACACACATACACAGACTCATATACACACGGACATAGATACACACACAGAGACCCTCACACTACCTCAACTCACTCGACTTAAACACTTCACACTGAACACTTAACAAATAACTCACACTCTGACTTCCTACGTGATGAAAAATGCTTTCGGGCCACTCGTCGTCTAGTTTCTCTGGTTGGGCAAGGATGTCCAAGGAAAATGAAAGAAAATTGAAAGGCAGTGCAGGGATGTGGCCCTTAAAGTCTAAAGCAGGACGGGGTTGGGAAGCACTCCACCCCTGAACAACACACAAGCAGTGAAACGAGCTCGAATTTGGTCCATTCATTCCATTTTACCTTCCAATGCCCAATGCCCTAAGTTGTCATGGTCATGGTTAATTCTACCCTCGAGTGGCTTACACAAAAATATGCTAAATCGCGATGATTTCTTCCTGCTCTGAACGTTACCCTTGAGAGCCCCTCAAAACATATGTTCCAAGCTGGGATGTTCCTTCCACTCTTCCTTCCTTCCTGCCTTACTTCCAGAATCTACGAAACTAGCCGCTGCAACAAAGACCCCAAAAAGCCAAGAACCCAAAAAAAACAAGATGCCAAAAGCGTAAAAAACACGACGCCGAAAGCCAAGAAACTCCAACGCCAAAAGCCAAGAAGCCACGCCGCCAAAGGCCGAAAGCAAGAGGCGTAGACCCAGAACCAACCAACAGGTATACTTCTTTCTGAAAACAACAAAAACAAATCAAACAAACTTAAGAAACGAAAGAAAAAACTCCGACGGGAAGCCCAAGGCCTTCCGCACGTCCTCGTGAGGGACAGCTCCCAATAATTCAACGCGATCCTAAGAGCCGGTTTCCGGATGCGGCGCAAAGGTTGCCATTACTTTAGGCTGATTGGGAGTTTAGGTGCTCAAAGGTTGAACATGTCGGCACTGAGTAAGGTTGCAGCATGCAAGTTCTCCTGGTAGCGACAGGACACAAAAATGAAAAAGAAGCCGTGACATGCAACGCATAAACTATAAACGCAGTTGCTTAGGGTGGTTGAAGTGAGACTACTCCAAAACCATCGTTGTCACTTGTATGATGTCCTCCTAAACATGTGCATGTTTAAATTGGAACTGCCTGCGTACTATCTGATCCCATCTAATCAGTCTCATCTGCTCCCAACAGCCTCATACCATTCATTGAGCTTCCATATATAAAATCGCGATTAAGGTTGGAGGCCCGTGCTAATAGAAACAAATAGAAAAGCGATTCCACCACTGTCTGGTTCCTCGCCCCAGCCCTTCTTGCTCCCGTTCGATCATCTCATCCAGCAGGAGCTGCTTTGGCCCACTGCCACCGATTAGCCTAGGAGGTGGTGATCAATCATAGCAAGTGAAGGACGGGCAGGATGAAGCAAAGGCAAACCTATATATTATATAGTAGTATGTATAATATATATTTTTTTGAGTATAGAAGCTGGATTACCGTTATCAGCTACCAAGTGTTGTCCAACTCTATAGGCAAAAAGTGCAGAGCCCTTGCCAGGTACACCAAGCTGACTGATAAATAAGCAGAAAAGCAAACAAAGAAACCGGCCACTTAAATCAGTTTCAGCAACCATCGCACATGCTGGTGCCTGCGAAGCAGCAAAACCAACTTGTGGCGCTTCTTAGGTAACGTTTGGATTGTTGGAGGAATTGCATTGCTGCAGGTTTTGTCCCACGAAGTCCTGCACCATTTCTCTTCACTATTTCGATTCCCTGCAATAAATTAAAGGTTGGACAGTGGAAGGACAAATCACCTTCAATTTCCCATGGGCAGTGCACATCCCAGCCTGCGACAGATTTCAGGCACAGCACCCACAAGCAAGTTGACCCCCTGCACAACGGATGACCAAAAGTGCATTCACTTCCACAGGTGAATACACAGCCAATCTCTAAACCCCACATCAAAAGGTGTTCCACATGTCTGCCTTCTGGATGTCTTTTATATAAAGGAGGGCATTCCGTCTTGGTCCGAAGCGACTGTCCGAGACCCTAAAGAATGTCCCTATGTATCTATTTACACAGAATAAGGGTGTGTGTATATATACAAATACAAATACCTGAGAAAGGAGAGGACGAAAGCCAGCGAGAGACCAATATGGTAGTGCAAGACTGGGAGGAAAAAATAGCGGAGCACTTATTGTTGAATGCCTGTCGTTTTCGTGGAGTTTGTATCAACGTGGAGTAGATCAAGATCGGAGCACAGCATAAAGTGTTGAATGTTTTAGGTTTTCTCGATTTTGCTGGCGCGGTGCTCTCTGGAGCGTCCCTGCTTGGTGGTCTACTTGAGGATCCATGAAAAAATAAACGTCAGTGAAGACTAGGAGAAGGATGCCCGAAATGGTTTTTGCGGTTGCGTTGAAGTGTGTTTCGGGTATCGTGCATCAATGCGAAGCCCTATAGAGAGCAGGGCTGGGAGGAAAAAATAGCAGAGCACCTATAGTTGAAAGTTGAAAGCTTGTAGTTTCGTGGAGCTGGTATCACTGCGACTGAGATCAAGATCGGAGCACAGCATGAAGTGTTGAACGCTTGCAGCTTGCTTGCTTCTCCTCTTGCGGCGCTCTTATCCCCAAGCCTCAATTCGGTCAATGGGACACGCTCACATCGTTCGCTCCCAGAGCGTTCACTCTTTGTTGTTTGGTCCTTCTTGGTATGATCAGAGCTACACAGTCCCTATGCCCTGCTCAGGACTAGAAAAATTGTCTGCAGACCCCTTCATGATGCTAATGATGCACTACTCGGCGTCCATTGCGTCACTCGCATCACCAGACCCCATTTTCACTGCTTTTCTGACCCTTGCTTTGGAGCGCTCTCCCCCACCAAGCTCCGGGTTCACCCTCTCAAATGGCGCCTTTTCGCGCCCTCCCCCCCCCACAACCCCTTAACTCACTTCGTTCGCTCTAAGAGCTCAAGCCTAGCCTATCGGCTGGCTTTCGAAAAAAAAACTTATATATATATATATATGTGAGTTCAAGCATGCTACATATATATATATATACATACACATGCATAATATACACATACACTGCCGGTGGCTCCAAAGGGAGCCAGCAACATTCCTACACGTGCTCTGTGTGTCCCAACGGATGCTAGGGTGTGGCTGCGCAGACAACCAAGCAACAGACCACCAAGCAGCAGCAGCAGCAGCAGCAGCAGCAGCAACAGACCACCAAGCAGCTGCAGCAAACACCCAAGCACCTGCAATCTACCACCAAACAACTGCAGCAAACCACAAAGGAGCAGCAGCAGACCACCAACCAGCAGCAGCAGACCACGACCCAGGAGCAGCAGCAGCAGCACCAGACCACCAAGCAGCAGCAGCAGCAGCAGCAGCAGCAGCAGCAGCAGACCACCCAGCAGCAGACCACCCACCAGCAACAGCAGCAGCAGCAGACCACCCACCAGCAACAGCAGCAGCAGACCACCCAACAGCAGCAGCAGCAGCAGCAGACCACCCAGCAGCAGCGGCAGCAGCAGCAGCAGACCACCAGCAGCAGCAGCAGCAGCACCACCACCAAGCAGCAGCAGAGCAGCAAGAAACTGCAGCAGACCGCCCAGCAACAGGAGACCACCCAGCAGCAGCAGCAGCAGACCACCAAGCAGCAGCAGCCGCAGCAAACCACCCAGGAGCAGCAGCAGCAGCAGCAAACCACCAAGCAGCAGCAACCACCCATGCAGCAGAACACCAAGCAGCTGCAGCAGACCACCCAGCAGCAGCCGCAGACCACCCAGCAGCTGCAGCAGAACACTAAGCAGCTGCAGCAGACCACCAATCAGTGGCGGCAGACCACCAAGCAGCAGCAGCAGCAGCAGTAGCACAAATGCCCACCCGCTCACTGCGCGCAGGGGGGAGTTGAACCGGGGGGTCCATAATTATTTTAGGTTTCTGAGGTGCGTCATTTAACTTGCTAAAGCAAGAACAACTTCAGCTAGCTGAGTAGCCGTACAGGGGGGTTACTACAGTGATTGGAGACGTCAACTGCCGCCAGCGCAGTTTGGTGGATTTGGGTCAGCTTGTCAGAATTATAGATGGTGACATGCTTGTTGGTCTTTCTGAAACTACACTCCGCTCCGCATCCCCGATACATGCAACTTTTGCCGAACTTAGAACATATACAAGTCTGTTAGGACGTGCTAGAACTAAATGCAACAATTGTGTACATACAATATACTTGAGGCCAAGGGGGGGGGCGAAAGCTAGCGCTCCAGAATGGGAAAGTGGAGGGCAGCGAGGTAGGAAAAAACACGGCGCTCTTTTTGGAGGCAGGGGTGAAGAGTCCTTTATATGTGGCTCTTTGCCCGGATCCTCCTGCGAGAGAAGAGAGAGAAGAGAGACGGAAAGACGAGAGACAGAGAGGAGAGAGAGAGAGAGGAGAGAGAGATGAGAAAGAGATGAGAGAGATGAGAGAGATGAAAGAGATGCGAGAGATGAGAGAGATGAGAGAGAGAGAGACAGTGAGACAGTGAGACAGTGAGACAGTGAGACAGTGAGACAATGAGACAGTGAGACAGTGAGACAGTGAGAGTGAGAGTGAGAGTGAGCGAGTGCGGCCTCAAGATACGCAACGCTAACCGCATGCCAAAGAGCGACGACAGGACGGAGTCGAACTTGCGAAGAGGGAGGAGGGAGGGAGGGAGGGAAGGTGGGAGGAAGACA